TAATGTAAATTATGATAAGTATCCTCCCATATGTCAGAACATACAGTAACACGCCCATCAAAGTTTGCAAAATAATTTTGTAACCTTACCTTTTCCGCACCATAAAGCCTTGAAATTTCTTTCTTAACCGTTTTGCGACTATAACCTCTATATTGAGGATTTAAACAAGTTTGTGCATAATCACGAAAAGCAAGACTTTCAGAAAACAAACAAGGCAAATTTTCTTCAATAAGTAAGTTATCCATACCTATCAAATTTTGTGCATCATTGTATGAGAAATTACCAAAAGGTTGTTGGTTATTTGCAAATCTCGATATTTGAGTTTGCTTCCCCGTTCCGCTGCCTAATTTTGCATACTTCACCGGGTGTTTGGCCTTAAGATGCCTTGTGGCGGATCCGTATCCGCCGGAAATCCCCAAGCTATAATTTTTCTTGCACCACTTGCAAGTTGTACATGTTCCAATTCCCGATGTTCGGGTCCTTCCACTTATCAAAATTATTTTGCATTATTTCAGATCTACTTTTTTTCGTACCTGTTTGGGATGAGGCATGCTCGTCGGCGTCGTGGCTGCCGCCACCCTCCTCCGCGTCGCCATCGTGGCTCTCCGGAATTACTTCCTCCACATCGTCGTTCTCGAGCTCTTCTTCATCAATGGTCCTCGACTGGTCTTGGAAAAACCGACTATTATGTCGGTGCAATTCTTGTTCAAGTTATTTGTCGGTCATGGCATCCTCATCCCTCCTTGCGTAACCTGTATCAAAATCCTCTCGGCTTTGAGATTAAGAGCCAATATGTGATTTACCTTTGCGGGATTTCTTCCTTGCATGCTCGTTCGTTTGGTTGCGCTCGAGGTTACCCATATCAACCGAATATCTACCACCTTCCATCTTAAAAATGTAACAAATATTAATTTATAAAAACAATTCGAACTAATGAAATAAAATTCTAACGATTCTAACTTTAATGAAATAAATTTCTAACAATTCTAACTAAGTAGATATAAATTGTAATATGTATGTATTTAGTAGATATAAGTAGATAATAAGTAGATATAAATTGTAATATGTATGTATTTAGTAGATATAAGTAGATAATAAGTAGATATAAATTGTAATATGTATGTATTTAGTAGATATAAGTAGATAATAAGTAGATATAAATTGTAATATGTATGTATTTAGTAGATATAAGTAGAGATTAAGTAGATAACAAATATAAGTAATATAATATATGTATTTATAAATAGATAATTAATATATAACTATATAAGTAGATAAGAAATATAAGTAATATAAATTATAATATATGTATTTCTGAGTAGATATATAATATATTGGAGAATAAGAGAATTTGAGAAGATGAAAATAATTAGAGAGTAGAGAGTAGGATTTTCGAGAAGAGATATGGAAAAAAATGTTTAAGATTAGGAGTATTTATAGTTTTTTTACCCCAATCCCACCCCCCCACCCCCCAGACCGCCTGGACCCCCACTTCCAGCCCACATAACGGCTATATAGCCGTTTGGGTAGTCCCCAGCCCCTCCCCCCCCCCCCCCCCAACGGCTAGTTGTGGCCCAAACCCAAAAAAAATATTTTTTATTTTTTGAGCATATGACCGTTGGACCCGGGTCTCCTTTTGCCTGAACCGAGCCCGCCCCGCCTCCCCCCCCCCCCCCCCGGTTCGGGTCTACACCCGGTCCCGGACCGCCAGACCGGGCTGGTCCTGGGCCCGCACAGTAACGGGCCTGGCCGGGTCACGGACCAGGTGGCCTGAACCGAATCCAAGCCCGAGTAAAAGATCGCATTTTGAAACATATAGAACCTAAAATTTTATAGGAAGTTGCTCAAAATATGAGTTAAACATATGAAAACAAATCTAAAATAAGATTAAGAGTGTTTATTCACTATAAATCCTATTAAAAAATAAAAGTATAAAAAAATCATTGAATTTTGTAATTTAGTATAACTTCTATTTAGGTAATTTTATCAAATTTATCTACAATTACATCTTTACATGCATGTAATATAAATTAATCTTCTTTTTATACATAGTTGTACATTTATAACTTAAACTAAGTCTAATCAAATAATATTAAAAATGTGAATTATTGTTTGTGAAATATGTGACTAATTAAGTTCTAGTGTAAGTTGGTCACCACAAAAAAACTAAATACGTCACTAGTCTACGGCCCCCATACACATTTTTCGGGTCCTCCCCTGAACATCATCTATGATATTTTTATGTACACGCCATTTCCATTGTTAAAGTAGATTGCACTAACAAAGAGCACCATGAGGATTGAGAAGAAGCCATCATGCATGCACAAGTTGCAGATTAGAAGTTCAAAATGACTCTAAAGAGTCATGATAACATACTCATGTCATGAGCTATGACGGAGCAAGAAAAACGACTCATGCGTGTCAAAACTCAACCGATATACAAAATGAAAATGGTGGATTGTTTTTTAAACAATGTTTGCGTTGAATATTTCATATGCAGTTTAGATAAATAGACACTCGTAGCAATTAGATAGATTGTCTTTGATATGTTTCTAAGTCGTGCCACATAATTATTGAGTGAATTATACCATATTTTTTAAATTTGGGAAAATATTCTATAGTATGCATCAAATTTTGTTGATTTTACGTTTAGATAGTGCTGATTTTCCAGAAAAAATAGTGGAAAATCAGCACTATTTTTTTTCTTTCAAAAAAAAATCAGCATTATATTTTTTTACTTCTTTAAAATCAGCACTATTTTTTTTACTTCTGGAAAATCAGCACTATTTTTTTTGTTTTTTAAAAAAATAATGTTGATTTTCCAGAAATCATAACTTTTTACTCGTAATGAGTTACGAGGCCATAAGATATCAAATCGGAGATATTTCAGAGGTCTATACTCTCAAACTTTCAGCGGGATCGGCTGACCACCCTGACCCCCTCCTTGGCTCCACCCCCGGTCATGAGCTTGATTCACACCCAACTGATTCAGCAGCTTCACCGTCAAATCTGTGTCCACTTCGGGCAACTTCTTATCAGATTCAGCTAACTCATCAAATCCCCAATGAATTGGCTTCTTAAATTGCACAATTATCATTCTCATGTTGTCACATCCCTCTCCTCTAGTACTAGCTAGACGGCGCCAAACACCGATTGAAAACTCATTCACACATTGTCGAAAGCTTGCTTTCGTGTACAGTCAATCAAGTTAGATTGTGTTTAGAACACATAAATTCGTAGGAAGTGAGGGGAAAAGTCAATAGGAAAGTAGTTTTCTATGTTTGGTTTACCATAGAAATATACAAGCCAAAGATATTTATGGAACGGAAGGAATAGAAATATATAAATAAAATGGGTTTGAACTTTTAGGATCATTCAGTGTGAGAAAAATCAGAAAATGCCCTTATATCTCTATTTCTTCCAAAATTCCAGTCTACTTCATTTCCCCAGCTTTTTCCAAGCTCCAGAGTCCAGACTGACCTTTGAGTGGCTGAATAAGGAGAAAGGCTCCTATTTTGACCCCAAAATCTACACCAATACGGCCATTAAACAACAAATCCACTATATCTAGGGACTAGGGGTGAGGGTGGTCTTAGTTAACTAATTTTTGGTTAATCGACAAATCGGCCATTAAAAAATTCCACTATGATGCAATTAAGTTAAGTATCACATTGCCCAATTCTTTTACCAACTTGATCCAAACTTGATCGTGTCTCTCCACTTTTACTAAAATTTTCCTCTCTTATACGATGTTTTGCACTTTTGCTTACTCTTAGTATCGACTAATATGATATGATATAATCACACAGTTACACTACCAAAATTCAAACCTTCAGATAAATGGAACATAAATCTGCATCATGGCAATGATAAGAAGCTGGATTTTTTTATATACATTAAAAGGTGAAATAAGTAATGGTACATTGAATGTTCACTACTGTCTCCCTTAGTTGGGCTGAGTGTACTTCAACAGGGTAGCTCTTTTATAATTGAGATTCATGAAACCCTTTTAATTGAGTAGTTTTTTTAAATAAGGTACAAAGTCGATTTAATCTTTCAAATAAACTAGTGGTGGACTCGGTTCGGCCCACCCGGCCTGGCCCGCTACTGTGCGGGCCCGGAACCGGCCCGGTCTGGCGGTCCGGGACCGGGTGTAGACCCGAATCGGGGGGCAGCGGGGGGCGGGCTCGGTTCCGGCAAAACGTGACCCTGCTCGGCCGGATCGAGCTCGGGTCCGGGTCACAACGGTCACATTTCAAAAAAAAATTGTTTTGGGCCAAAAGAGCCGTTAGGCTTGGGTTGGGACTACCCAAACGGCTATATAGCCGTTGGGTGGGCTGGCAGAGGGGTCCGGACAGTTTGGGGGTGGGGGTGGGGTGGGGTGGGGTAAAAAAAACTATAAATACTCCTAATCTTAAACATTTTTCCATATCTCTTCTCCAACTCTTCCTAAATCCTACTCTCTACTCTCTAATTATCTTCATCTTCATCTTCTCAAATTCTCTTATTCTCCAATATATTATATATCTACTTATAAATACATATACTTCGTATTATACAACTTATATTTCTTATCTACTTATATAGTTATATATTAATTATCTATTTATAAATAAATATATTATATTACTTATATTTCTTATCTACTTAATCTCTACTTATTATCTACTTATATCTACTAAATACATACATATTACAATTTATATCTACTTAGTTCGAATTGTAAGTACATTTTAGTACGAATTAGTACTGATAGAGTATATAGACTCGGACCCCCGGGTCTCACGACTATTGGGCCCGGACAGCGGCCCACACACATCTTACGGATATCATTTGTATTATTGTACTGCTTATATGTCATTTGTATGTAACTATGTACTAGATTAGTCTTTTATGTAGTTGGGCTACCGGGCTCATATTAGCGGCCCGGCCCATTATTTCCCTATTTATACTCCTCTTGGAGCCATTTGTAACCCTAACTCATAATTCATACACAATATCATTTCTACTATTCATCTTCTCCACACATTCTTGAGCTAAAATATCTCCATTTATTACATTTTATACATACTTGGATCCCTACAATCCATCAATGGTGCTCTCGTTGAGAGATTAGAGCAAAATCAAGTTAGATTCCTCACAAAATCTCCAAAAACTCATCCAAATCACAAAAAATCAACCAAAAAGTGTTGTGGAAAAAAGAGAAAATGAAGAAATCAGTCAAAGATATTCTAGAAATTCATGGCAAATCAAAGAAGAAAAAGCTGGAATTTCAGATATGGAAGAATCCTGATCTGAGCCGGAACTGTAGCCGCCGGCGTGATCTATTTGCTGGAGTCGCGGCTGTTGCTCCGGACCTCCCTGCCGCTGCTCCAGATCTTCCGGCCGTCGATGGGTGCTGTTGGATGAGGCTGGGCTGTCTCTGCTCTGGGTCTCACCCAGGGGCGGACCGTAGTAGAGACCCAGGGGTGCGGTCGCCCCCCCAAAAAAAAAAATTAGTATATATATATACGAAAAATAATTTTATCCCCCTCAACAAATAATTCTCGCCCCTCCAAAAAAAAAAATTGAACCCCCCCAAAAAAAAATTCACCCCCAAATCATAGCTCACTCCCAGAAATCCAATTTTTAATAGCCTAAAAAATAGAAATTGTAGAAATAATATTATATCAGCCCACCCAAAAATTTATTCCCAACCCATCCCAAAATTTATTCCCAGCCCACCCCAAAAGAACTTTCCCCAGCCCATCCCAAAAAATCTGCGTAAACTGAATAGCTTTCCCCATTTCCCCAGCACAAATTTCTTCCCAACCCACGAATAATCCGCCGATTCAGTTAAAAAAAGAAGAAAGGTGGCCGAGCCCCGCCCACCACCCACCAGCCACGCCGTGTCGCCGTGATTCCGCCATCCACGCCGACGCCGTGCTGCCCGCCTGCCCCTCCGTCTCAATCTCTCTGGCTCTCTGGCTCCGGCAGTCCCGCAGTCCGGCTCCACTGCTCCAGGCAATTGATTGTTAGACTTTTTCTTTCTTAGTTTGTTAATTGTTATGAATTATGATTGTGTATTTGTGTTAAGTTGTATTATAAATTTATAATTTTAGCCTTTTAGAGTGTTAGGGTTAGTCCTTAGTTATTAGTTAATCAATTTTATCAATTGATTTTTTTGAAGGATTCAATTGTCGGAGGATATATCATATATGTCTTTGTAAATATTTTTTACCTTTGAGTGTTTTAAAGTTGTTTTCCTAAATTCTTTGTGAAGGATATAGTGAATGACCAAAAAGATTGAGAAGCAGACAAGCATTGACTCTCATTTTAAGAGAAAAACTGTTGATTTGAGTTGTAGTCCAAGTAATCCGGTCAATGCAGAAACTGCAAATGTGGAAGTTACTAATACTTCCAAATATTTGGGTTGTTCTAGTCTTTCATTTGATATCAAGAATCTAGAACGTGATCCCGGAAAACGCCCTCAGATATGGGAATATCCTTTTAATCAAAGAGATGAAGTTATTCGAGCATATTTGGAGATGGGGCCATATCAAATACATTCAAAAGGAGATCTTACACATTCTTGCTACTAAAGTGCGACATAGGATTCGACATGATATTGGTGATTCTAAGTTTTGCATTATTGTTGACGAGGCACGTGATGAATCTAAGAGAGAGCAAATGGCTATTATTTTGAGATTTGTTGATGAAAAGGGGTTCATTAGAGAGCATTTCTTTGATGTTGTGCATGTTAGAGATACCGCAGCAATGACTCTCAAAAAAGAAATTGGTGCAGTTCTTTCTAGATTTTGTCTTGATGTACAGAACATTCGTGGTCAGGGATACGATGGTGCTAGCAATATGCGGGGAGAGTGGAATGGGTTGAAAGCATTATTTTTAAATGATTGTCCTTATGCATACTATGTTCATTGCTTAGCACATCGGTTGCAATTAGCATTGGTTGCTGCTTCTAGAGAGGTGAAATATGTGCATAATTTTTTCACCGATTTAGTCTTTATTATTAATGTGACTAGTTCTTCTTGCAAACGAAATGATGAATTAAAGGAAGCTCAAGCACTTGAAATTGCAAGAATGTTGGAAATTGGTGAGCTTGAAACAGGCAGAGGACTTAATCAGGTTGGTACGTTACAACGAGCTGGGGAAACTCGATGGAGCTCGCATTTCAGTTCTGTTTGCAGTTTGATTAGGATGTTTGCTGCAACTTGTTCTGTTTTAGAAGATGTTGAAGAGAATGGCAATAACTATTCTACTCGTGGAGATGCAACTGGAGCACTTAAGAAGATTAAATCTTTTGATTTTGTTTTCTTGTTGCATCTTATTAAAGAAATTATGAGTATTACAGATCTTCTATGTCAGCATCTACAAAAGAAGTCCCAAGACATAATAAATGCTATGCATTTGGTGTCAAGCACCAAAATGTTGATCCAAAAGTTAAGGGAAGGTGGATGGGATAACTTCTTAGAAATTGTTAAAGTGTTTTGCCAAAAGCATGAGATTGAAGTTCCTAATATGAAGTCTCCTTATGTGGTAAAACGCAAACGCCATGATCAAGAAGGGTTTGATATTGAACGTCACTATCGGGTTGATATGTTTTACGCAGCCATAGATTCACAATTGTTAGAGCTGAATAGCAGATTCAATGAACAGATAATGGATCTTCTTACTCTTAGTTGTGCTTTGGATACCGGTATCGACAGCAACAACAGAAAGGGCTTTTTCAGCAATGAAAATTATAAAAACAAGGCTTCGCAATAAAATGGAGGATGAGTATCTTGCAGACAACCTTGTTGTTTATATTGAAAGAGAAATTGCTAAAACTTTTGACTCAAAAGCCGTGATTGAGGAATTTATCTCGTTGAAGGAGCGTCGAGCACAATTCTAAGGTATTAACTTTACTATTTTGTAATAATATATTTGTCTCTTCTTCTATTTTTTGCCTATTGTGTACTATTTTAATGCTTCATTTTATTACTATTGTATAAAGGTTATAACTTATAATAATGAGCAACTAGATTTTTTTTCTTTAAATTACGGCCCCTCAATGTGAATTTCCTGGGTCCGCCCCTGAACATGAATTGAAAGAAGATGTTTAATACAGGACCTTAAAATTTAAAGCTGAAAGATGAATGAACATGGAGTAGCTTACTGTGATTTTCATACGTGTGCTGCGTTTCTTTTCTTCCGGCCAGCAGATGGCCTCGATCGCTTGTAGCTGAGTTGCTATTTATCCCATGTCTGTGTTGTTTTTTGTTTCCAAGAACTGCCCTTACGCTGCGGCCAAGAGCTGCGGGTGTGAAATCTATTTTTTTCCAGCTTCTCTCCTTTATTTCTCTCTTTTCTTCTTTGGCTGCAACTGATGGAGCTCCTGTCCCTTCCGTTGGCCACACCATGTGCTGCAGTGATGGTGCCTTCTTTTCGCGTCTTTCTTTTTATTTTGTTTTGTTTTCTTTTGATTGTTTTTCTTTGTTTTCACGCAGCTTGGCTACAGTTTCTTTTTTTGCTTTTCTTTTGATTAATTAATGCACATCATTTGTTTATTGTATTAAAAAAACATTGAAATATAATACTCCGTAGGATGTTGAAAAACAAAACGAAAATCAATCCAAACACTTGAATTAAACACAAATCACTTTAAAATGTAAATTTCAACACTAATTTCAAACATTAATAAAAATGCAAAAAAAACGCAGAAAAATGTAACAATTTGCTCTGAGTTTGACAAGAAACGCTATAAAAGTGAGTGAAAATATATGAACAAATCAGACTTATCAGTGAGCCGATCCCACGATATAATTTGCGTAATACATTATACGCATTATCAAATTTATGTCAAAATTGTGCAAGAGTTCAATAAAAATCTATAATGATATAACTTCAATATGGGAGTACAATATTTTAAAGAATTAGTCATGTTGGTGTATTGTCCATGTTCGTGTTCATGTACCCGGCCCTCGGGGAAAGTGTATGTCGATTCAATCTATTATTATAATATAAAAGCAAAAGAAAACTTCCTAAGGAAGTTCCCGCCTAAACAGAGAAGCTTCCAGAACAGAATAATGCAATCAGTATCACAATTGACAACAGTAGCTACTAATAATCTAATATACGTGATGGAGTATATGGCCCGGGAACCCCCGGCCCACAGACTCCTACTACTCCAACAGGCCCAAGTCACAGCGCCCAGAGTACCAAGCGGCCCACGATGCGCACCAGGGGTGCCTTCGGCCCCCTGGCCGAAGGCTCTGAATCTCACAGGAGGGTCAAATCAGGAAAACAAGGTTACCGGAAGAAAACGGCGAAAAACCGTAGCCCTCGGCACCTAGAGCCCTCGGCACTAAAGAGGTCCCCGATGCTCAGAGCCCTCGGCTAATCATCTACAGCCGAGGGCACCTTTCCGACATAATATCCGCTCCACATGCGCATGAATCACCGTACCAAGTAAGACGTCACATCCAATAGCCACATTAAATGCGGCCACATGCGATTGCCAGCGCCAACCAGTTGAGGTGACCCCTCAACCAATGGATGCTTGACACGTGTCCCTGTCTGGCATTTATTGCTACTATAAATAGCACCCCATTTCCCCGTTGTAAACCACGCTCAAAAAGCCTTGACTTACATATTCAATACACTTTATCTCTCTTACTTGCTATGACTTCTCTCTAGTTATTCCCCGTAATAACACCTTGGATAAGCTACCCCCGGGTACACTATCCATCATTTGGTGCTCTCATTGAGAGGTCGAACAATCAAGTAAGAAACCCTCCCCCTCGTTAAACACAAAAACACCTAGCTAAAATGGTGAGAACAACTCGTGCCAACTCCAAGAATGTTGAGGACAGGAACCTGGCCCTCGGCGAGGTCGACGTCCTCGAAGCCTCTAACAGGGCTCCCGGGGACGGCGTCATCGCCGGGTTGGACCAGACGGCTGTCGACCTACGCCAACATATTCAACATAATGCCCCTAATGCCCGCCTCGGCATCGAGGCCAAGAAAAAGGACCGGAGCGAGAACCAAATTAGCCCTCCGGTCATCACAATCGACGTACAATCGGCGCTCTCTGCCTTCATCCAGACGCTCACCCAGAACCCGGGTGCCTTCGGCACTTTGGTTCCCCTCCAACCTCAGGTAGGGGAGAATATTATGCCTCCCCCTCATCCACACCCCCCCGGGAACCCGGTCCTCCGGATTGGGAACTCTGAGGGGGTCGTGGCCCAAGATACGGCCTCCCAGGAAGTCCAGTCCCGGGACCGCCACAACGTAAACAAAGAGCAACTCCGGACCTCCGCCCTTGAGAGACTCGGAGGGGCGCAAGACCGCCGAGGGGTCCAAGACCGCCTCGGGGGGAAGGCGTTCCTGAGGCCTCAGGAAAGTGGCGGATCCGTCTCCAGGGCCAATGAAAGGCGTCCCCCTCAGGACAAAGGCAAGGCACCTCTCCATGCCAACGACGCCCGCCACCAAATCTACCAGGCCCACTCGGCCCGCGTCCATTCGCAGGGGGCGGAGGCCCTCCCGAAGGACCCCCGGGACGAAATCATTGCGGCCCTCCAGCGCCAGCTTGACGAGATGGAGGCCACCAGAGCACACGCCGCCACTTCTGCCCCTCATACAGACCTCAAGTATGAGGCGATGATGGACAGGATGGAAGAAATGCAGAAGAAGATAGTCGAGGGCTCCGGGGAACCCACCATACAGCTCCAGACCGGGACGCCATTTACCCCAAGGGTATTGGCGGCCCGGATCCCGGAAAAATACTGAGGGCAGCTCATCAAGCCCTACGACGGAAAGACTTACCCCCAAGAGCACTACAGCAGGTATCAAAACAGCATGATGATGGTGGGGGCATCGGATGAATATTTGTGCCGCTGGTTCCTCTCCACCTTAGAGGGGCCGGCTTACGAATGGTTCAATCGATTGCCCGAGGGCTGCATTGACTCATGGCAAGAACTCGCCCAGCGATTCTTGATGCAATTTGCGGGAAGGCGCCGCACAAGAAAACACTTCTCCCACTTGCTGACAGTAAGGTAGAGGAAGGAGGAGACCTTTCGGGACTTCTTGGAGCACTGGAGAACGGAGGCTGATAAAGTTGATGGCGCTGACGACGGGACCCTCCTGGCCCTCCTCCAAACGGTACTCCACCCCGGGAACTTCTCGAGGAGCCTCATCATCGAACCCCCCCCCCCCCCCCCCCGCGATTATATAAGGGCCCTACAGCGGGGGGACCGGTACGCCGAAGCCGAGGAGGTCGAGAAATGCCACCACGTCCCGGATCAGCAACGCCCTCGGCCAGACGACAAAGGTAACCGGGGGCCGGGGGCTCCTTGCAATCATCCCAAGGATTCTGCCCCCTCCGGTGATCACCCCCGGCATGGCCAAGCCAAACCCGGGGGAGGTTACAAGGGGAACCCGAGGGCTTGGACAGCGTGTTCTCTTGGAGCACCCTCGGACACCTTTGACGCACCCCTTCAGCGCCATTCTTGATTTTGCTGAGGAGAGGGGCCTAGTGGAGCGAGATTCACGCGCACCCCCGGAAGTATTCGCCATCAATCCAAACTACCCCTACTGTCGCTTCCACCGGCATCAAGGGCACAGAACCGATGACTGCCATCAGTTGAAGACGGCCATCGAAAGATTAATACAGGCGGGCCATTTGTCCCAATTTATCCAGGGCCCTCAGCAACAGGGCCCCCCTCACCAAGGGCCAACCCGAGGGCAGACTGCGAGAGCGAATGCATGGGTCAACCCCAACACCATCCCCCTCGGCAAAAAGAGGGACATTGGAAATCTGGAAGAAGAGGAGGAGGAGTACCCCTGGTACCAAGAAAAGAAACGCCACATCCTCATGATCACGGGGGGTAATACCGGGGGTGATTCTGCGAGTCAACGAAAGAAGTGGGCTCAATCACTTTACGTGGGGGAAGTCACTCATATGCCCCCAGTAAAGCGGCTGAGGGAGGAACCCATTACCTTTACTAACGCTGATCTCCCCCCAGTATCCTCCCCACACAGGGATGCCCTCGTCATCCGCACAGAAATAAATGACATTATTATTCATCAAACTTACGTTGACATGGGCAGCTCCGTCAATGTAATGTACCTCGGTACCTTCAGAGAGCTGCATTTGGAGAGGGGGTCCCTTCGGCCCATCAAGACCCCTCTTACCGGCTTCACCGGCGACACCATTGATTCCGAGGGGGTTATAACCCTCCCGGTGCTCTTCGGCGACGGGCTCCATAAAGCCAAGCTCGAGGTGGAGTTCGTCGTCGTCAACATCGACTGCGCCCACAACATCATCCTCGGCCGGCCAGCCCTCGAGGATCTCGAAGACGTCATCTCCATGAGGCACCTCTGCCTCAAGTTCCCAGCCGAAGGGGGCATCGGTTATTCAAGGGGGGACCAAAAGCTTGCCCGCGCTTGCTACCTTCAAGTAACGAAGAAGGTTAGTAAGACGGAGTTCCGCGTTGACACCATCACCGGAACTGTGGAAGCAGAAGAAAGGAGGCCGAGGGCTGAACCAGCCGAGGAGGTAGAAGACTTCACGCTCGATCCGGCCAAGCCGGAGAGAGTCGTGAAGATTGGAGCCAAGCTCCCTGAAGACTTGAAGACCGGCATCATCCGCGCCCTCCGCGCCTACTCCATTGTTTTTGCATGGGGGTCGGAGGACATGCCGGGGATCAGCCGAAGGGTCATCACCCACCGCCTCTCGGTGGATCCTTCGGCCAAACCAGTACAACAGCGGAGGAGACCCCTCTCGGCCGAGAGGAGGGAATTCGTGAAGAAAGAGGTTGTCATGCTCCTCTCAATCAAGCACATCAAGGAGGTAAAGTACCCCTCATGGTTGGCAAACGTGGTCCTTGCACAAAAACCGCCCTCATTCCGCATGTGCGTGGACTACACGGATCTCAACAAGGCGTGTCCCATGGACCCCTTTCCTTTGCCAAATATTGATCAACTTGTGGATGAAACCGCGGGATGTGAGATCATGTCATTCCTCGACGCATTCCGCGGATATCATCAAATATTTATGCATGAGGAAGACGCTGAAAAAACAGCCTTCATGGAACTGAAACGATACTTATCTTCACCCCCTGTGCTCTCCAAACCCAAGGTGGGGGAGATCCTATACCTTTACTTGGGCGTTAGCCCGGCAGCCATCAGCTCAGTACTCATCCGGGAAGAGGATGGCATCCAACATGCCATCTTCTATGTTAGCAAGACCCTCAGGAAAGCAGAACTCCGGTACTCCCCCGTGGAAAAAACGGTGTTGGCTATCGTGTGGACCGTCAAGAAGTTGGGCCACTACTTCCAAGCTCACCCGGTCCAGGTCCTCACTCACCAACCCCTCGGCGCTTTGATGAGGAGCCCCAACAGCTCCTCGTGACGGAATGTACAACGAGGTCAGCCACGGACGAGGAGCCCTCGGCTCCTTCGGATGATTGGTGGACCCTCTACACTGACGGCTCCTCCGCCGTCAAAGCATGTGG